CTGGCAAGTGCAAGGTCATGAGTTCGGTTCCCGGTACCGGAGAAAAACCAAAAAAAAATAATAATAATAATAATAATATCAAAATCACTAATGTGATCAAATCCAATATTCTCGAGTTTGTGCTTTTAACTATCCAACCTTCAACTACATAATAACTACTACTGCTAACTACAACTACTACTGTTATTTATAGGGTCCAATAGTAGACTTTGAAAAGGGGGAGTAAATTTTATTAGCATGAAAAGTGAAATTAGAAAACATACCAACTGTGTATTTCCAGGAAACTAATTTTTATCACATGATGTTGGTCTTATCAGAGCTTATAAGGTGGTATTGAACACAATAATAAATTATTTACCATTACACGGTGACTTAAGTTCATCTTTTGTGTCTCTAAGCACGTTTTGCTAGCAGTTTTCTTTCCCCCTTATCACCTTGAGCACTCTATGCCAAGAAAGAGTATCTCCTTTCAACACTCATCAAACTTTGAGAAATTACGGGGATATAGTGCTTGTTGCCCTCGACTTATAAAATTTGTGACTGCTAGTGATGTGATTAATTTGACAATAAAGGTTTTAAAAACTGCCCTACTGCCACGTAGTTCACTCATCACTCAACAAATATTTAATTCGGTTTCTGCAGGCACCCGGAGTACAATGGTGAGTCTAAGTCTCTGCCGTTCTTAAGCATAAATCATACGTACAACTACATATCCTAAGGTCATAGCCAAGAGTTTTTTATTAGCAGCCTAAGGTATTAAAACTTATTCTGCCACTTGAAAGACTTGCTATGCACCTGGGGAGACAGTCTTATGGGCTACTCAGTGGGAAGGAAGTATGGTCTGTTCTCCAGCTTCACGGTTTAGGAGAAATTCCTGCAAAACTTTTTGAAAATACCAATTTCAGAGCTCCTCATCCAGTTGTCTGATTCTGAAATGAGGCAACAGAAATTTATTCTTGTCCAGTACTGAGGATTGAACCCAGGGGCATTCTAACACTGAGCTGAATCTCTAGCCATTTTAATTACTATTTTATTTTTTTTAGAGAATCTTGCTAAACAGCCCAAGCAGGACTTGAATTTGTGTTTCTCCTGTCTCAGCCTCCCAAGAGCTAGATTATAGGTATGAGTCACTGTGCCTAGCTAAAAACATGTATTTTTAACATGAATCTCAATCTAGGTTGATTTAAATGATCTGAGATCCAGACCCTGAGAAACGCAACCAGTAAGTGGAGCTGTTCAGGAGAGTGATCATTCAAATGTAAACCTGGCACAGTGGCACATACTTTAACCCCAGCTACTATACTTGGGAGACCGAGGCAGAATGAAATATGGAGCCCACCCAGCCTGGGTAACTTACTGAGACCCTGCCTTAAAATAAAAAAGGAGCTGGATGTGATGGCATACACCTGTAATCCCAGCATAGTAGGAGCAAGCAACACAGCAACTTAGTGAGACCCAGTATCAAAATTAAAAAATAAAAAGGGCTGGAGATTATAGCTCAGTGAAAAAGCTGAAGGTGCTACCTCCAGAATGAAGGAACGCATAGACAAAATGAATGAAAGAGGGGCTGGGGATTTAGCTCAGCGGCAAAAGCGCCTGCCTGGCAAGTGCAAGGTCGTGAGTTAGGTTCCTGGTACCAGAGAAAAAAAAGAATGAAAGAGCAAAGAAAGCAAACAAGGAGGCAAGCAGGCTGGACAGCAATCCTGGGTTTGAGCCCCACTCTTGCCAAAAGAAAAAAAAAAAAAAAAATCATCCAGCTGTCTGATTCTACCCTGAGGTGATAGGAACCTTAATATCTAACCTCAGGTAATGCTGGTGTAAAAGGGCTGGGGATTTAGCTCAGTGGCACAGCGCCTGCCTGGCAAGCGCAAGGTCATGAGTTTAATTCCTGGTACCGCAAAAAAAAAAAGCCAAAAAAAAAGAAGAAGAAAAAAAATGCTGGTGTAAGCGATCTAGTTCCAGACTTTGAGAAACCCAATCAGAAAGGAGAGCCATTCAGGAGGGAACATCATTCAAAAGAGACAGTTCTGTGGCAGTGGGATGTGCACTGAGTGACATAAACCCATAATCAATTCATAAATTCACAAATTTACAATTTTAGCAAATTCAAAGATAAGTATGAGGTTGGGGGTATAGGTCAGTGGTACAGCATGTGTTTATCATCTCCACCCTGGGTCAATCCCTAGCACTACCTAAAAAACCAACATGAGTATGAGTAGAGGAATTTACCAGTACCTCTCCCTTAATCCCTAACAAGAGCTTTGAGGGTGTGCCTCAATCTAGGTATCTGGGGATGCGATAAAACTATGCAGAATTGTACACTCAAGATTAGAGATGAGAATTAAGAAAAAGGAAATGGCTAGTCAACTGCAAAAAAAAAAAGTGCTGAGGTTGATTTCACAAAACTAGCTACCACTCATTTTATGCCCTATTTCACAATGCTTAGTATCTGAACAATCCACAGGGTTCCAAAGTACATTAAAAATTTGTTCCTCTCTTACTCAGGCAGAATAACAATAGCATTTTGTAAAGGGTACGCTCATTGATTTCAACAGATACATTCTTCGGTAAAGAAATACCAATCTTAATACTAGTTTAAACGTGTTTAAAATATCTTTACCCCCATCACCAAATCAAATGTCCCTTGTTTCTTAATTTAGATCATTTAAAACTTGCTGGTGACTCTACAAACCTCAGCATTTTTATTTTTTAAAAAGTGTTTTTAATTTATGAGCAGCCAACCTCCCATGGAAACAATATAAATGCTTTAACTTGTAAAAAAAATTTTAACAGAAACAGTTTTGTTCTAAGAGATAGACAAATCGAAGTAGTAAGAAGAGGTGTTTAAGCTTCTGTACACTCAAGCTTAAAGTCATCTAAAAATAAAGGAATCCCAATAAATACATTCCTCGTATTTGGGGGGTTTGGAGTGGATGGAACCCAGCAAACCAGCTGGCCCGCTGGCTCCTGGCCCTAGTTCCTGCCCTCACATCCTGTCCACTACATAATCCATGAGCTATCTCTCTGAGCCTTTCTCTTCATCCGTTCAACAGGATTAGTCAATCTGCCTCCACTGACTGATTTGAGATTTTTCCAGATACATTTGTTTTTATTATCTATACTTCTTCTCGGACTTCTTTTTATTATCTGCACATTTTTAACCAGAGAAATAGCAAAAGAAGGATGCGAAGAGAAAAGCACAAAGAACCACATCTGGCTTGAGTCTCCATATATCTAAACGTTCAGGCTGGCTGCGTTCTGAATAGTATCGACGACGACGGCAAAGTTCGACGGGAAACTTTCATATTCAAGAAGTTATTAAAAATCTCCATAGCCTCCAGCTCAACCAAGAAGCCGCTCCTGCGTTTCTTCAAAAGCAAAGCCTTTAGTCTGAACCACAACAAAAGACTACCCAAAGGAAACGTAATCTACGAAACTGTCTCCTGATCCAAAGGCAAACAGATGTGAAGGAAGGCGCAGCCTACTCCTCGTTGGTTTCCTTTTTTCTCGGAATTCGGGTTACATTTCCTCACACAAACCAGAAGAGACTGCAATTGTGCCTCGGGTCCATACCAGAAACCCGAGTCCGTGCGTGAAGGGCCGGCGAAGCCGGGACCCCGGGGACGCGCTCTCCCTGCACGGGGAGCCGCTCTCCGCTAACGCCCACCGAGGCAGCCCGGCAGCCCCGCGCAGGGCCACACGGCATTGAGCGTCCTTCACTGACAGGGTGGTGCGGGCGCTCGGGAGACAAGAAAAGGGGATGAGCCGGGGACTCGAGGCCGGGGACGGGCGGGTGGCGCGGCGCTGCTCCCCGCGGGCTCGGACGCCGGGGAGGCTGGAGAGCAGCGAGGCTGGGCCGGCCCGCCACCCTCCGGC